AATGTCGTAAAATGCTGCAGCAGCATTGTTGGCATAGAACCCTCCTAAGTTTTCCTTGTTTTCATCCAATTCCTCAACGCTATATAATGATTTCAAGGCCACCACAGCTGAGCCCTTTCCTTTTGCCATTTACCCCAAACACTTGAAGAAAAACATTTCCAGCTTATATCTCATTTCCCCCAAACACTTCAGGAAATATGCCTAAAATGGCTGAGTTTAAAGGTCAAAAGGAAGGTAAAAACTCCAAGGCTGTGCCACCTTCCTCCTGCATATGCACCGGAAAGAGGACATTAGCCCAAGACTTTATGATGCAGGCATCGCCAGGCTCATATGACATCCCAAGCAAGTGGTGATAGTCATGGATGGGCTTAAGGAATTCTCAATGGAACCATTGGAGTGGGTTCTCAAGAATGTTGCTGATGGAGCCTCTCCTTCTTGCACTGTTACCCTTCTTGGTGTGATGCCATGGCTTAACATCCCATGTTTGCATCTCTCTTTTCTCTGCATTTAATTACTTAAAGTTGCTTTCTTCCTCCATTTGTCCCATAAGTCTTAAATTACCTCTCCATATCTTTTTCCCTCCTTATAGTGTCTTCAAAGATTTGGTCAGACATTTGGAGCATTTATTTGGACGATTTATCGATGATTAAAGAGTGGAAGAATGACTCGAAGTTTCATAAAGTTCGCGTGCTTTTGGACATTTGCCAACACTATGGGGGTAATCATCAACATCCTCTTCAATTTTTAAACTATTCAAATTATCTTCTACAAAATAGATGCATAAAAAAAACTTTTCTGGTACTATATCTACCTTGATCACAACTCATAACTGTGTATAGTAATTCTACACAAGCAGTGGGTATGTCCCTTCAATTGTCCACAGCTTTCTTGAAGATCAATAAAAATAGTGAAACTTACCAAAAAAAAAAAAAAAAAAACTACACAATCATAAGATCAAAGTTGAACTTTTAAGACGTTTTACTCTTAGGGTCTTCATTCTATGAATCTATGTAATTTTACTAGACAAGTCATGTTGGCCATAATAACTTCATCATATATAGTGCAAATCTATACAAATTAATTTCTTTATGCAATTGTATAGGTTGAGTTAGAGATCAGAACTGAGATGGGGCATCCATTACATCTACTTGTTGTTGAGCAAATTAGCAGTCTTCGTGCGACATTGGTAGTATTTGATAGGTAAAACTTCGCAACTTTAGAATATTAAGGACATTCGACTGTTGTTTATGGTTATTCTCCTGCTCATTATGGTCCAAATTTTGATGAATTGGACTAATATGTATCTATTGTAGCAGGCACCACGGTAGGAAGCATATAGATTATTATGCAGAAAAACTGCCATTTAACATGGTGAAGATGAAAGAAGATGGAGAAGTCGACATGATCAGAGGGCGATCTCGCATTGATAGTGAGGAAGGTACTCCAGCATATGATCCTTCCTGCGGTATGGCACCCTCTAAAGTGATATTTTCAGAACCAATCAAGAAACTTCTTGGGAAACGATCTTGAATATGCAAAAATGAGAGTAATGGGAAGTAGATGGAAGCAACAGAGTTGCCATTTAGTATGTGTTTGAATGGCATCAGCGAAAATAGGTCTGCGTTACAGTGTTGCAGAATACTGGGAATAAGAGCCACGCATAACTAAGGTGGCGTTTGGTTTGCACATCGGTATCGGATTCGGATTCGGAATCGGATATCTTGGGTTTGGAATGAGGTCATTCATTCCAATACATTTGTTTGGTTCAAGTACCTGGAATGTGTATCATTACTATAGTTGATGTTTGGTTCGTCGACTCTTTCGGAATGGAATATATAATAAATATATTATAAACCCCATCGTAAATGATAGTTATTGGCTCTTTGTAAATGGGATATAAGAAATTTTCACTAATTAAATATATTAGTATAAATGTATTAGTAAATTTAGTCTAACTAATTAATAATTTCTATTAGTAAACATGTATAATTATTAGTATAATTGATAATATTAATTATATTACATAAATTAATATACATTATATAATACATATAAATAATAATAATATTATTATAAGTTTGTAACTAATTAAATTAAATATTATATATATAATTAAATATAAATATACAAATGTTACAATATAAATATAAATATATAATTATATAATATATACAAATATTAATTATACAAATATTTTATATAAATATAATATATATTACATATTAAATATAGTTATTGTTATATATTATTATATTTAAAATAATAATAATAATAATAATTATATAACTTATTAATATTACATACACGTATATATTATAATTATATGCACATATAATATACATTTATAAATATATATTTTTATAAATATAATATTATATAATATTAATAAATTTATATATATATTATATAAGTATTATTATATTTAACTAAATAATTATATAATATAATAACATCATTATTATAAGTTTGTAACTAATTAAATTAAATATTAAATATATAATTAATTATAATTATACAAATGTTATAATATAAATATATAATTATAATTATATAATATATAAATATTAATTGAACTAATATTTTATATAAATATAATGCATATTAATATTAGATATAGTTATTATTATATATTATTATATTTAAAATAATGAATACAATTATAATTATATAATTTATTAATATTATATACATGTATATATTATAATTATATGCCAATATAATAAGCATTTATAAATATACATATATATTATAAATATATTATTATATAATATTAATAAATTTATAATATATATTATATAAATATAATTATATTTAACTAAATAATTATAATATATATTTATATAATATACTAGTATTATAATAATAAAATATTATATATATGTATATATTATAATATATATAAATATTAATTATACTAAATAATATGTAATCGGTAAAGAAATCTTGGAATCACACTTGGGTTTTGGCCAAAACCCACCCTTCTACTAAGGAATGGAGAGACACCAAATTTTTAGAAATCATTCCAAAATTTCAATTCCCATTCTAGTGAACCAAACACCAATTATGGAGTTCATTCCATTCCCTCATTCCGATACCCTTTTACCAAACGTCCCCTAAGCACAATTTTTGTGCTGCCAACTGATGTAGAGATTATTTGTATGATGTGATGATCAATTATAGTATCATAATCAAGTATGATGCCAATCTCAATCAAACTAAAGAATTATCAGTCTTTTGATTTTGCAGTCTATCTTTTTCCTAGGATACATGCTTCTGTTGGACTGCATTGTAAATTCTGATGCAACAGTTATCAGCAAATTTGTAAAGTTGATCTGCTTAACACCTAGTAACGTAGTTGCAAATTCTCAAGGAAATGTTGTCATCTACAAAAGACTAAGCGATTTTCTGAGCGAAATTTTAACGCAATCTTCCTCTATATCTAGGAAGGAATACTGCCAGGTAATTTTACTTAAAAGTTTGTGAGGTCTTTCATTTATGATCCACAGAGATTTTGGCGACCTTTGCAATTTATTTTGCATTAGACACTATACCTCTCATCAGTATGGTGTCTAAAATTTGCCATGGCTATGAAGATTGCTTTCCCATTTGTTAATAACCAGTAATTTGTCCATTAACTTGTACTCTAAAAGATCAAAGACGATGTAAAACTGACCAGGTACAATGTTAGTTAGGAGGAAGAAAGATTTGGTGTAGAAAATGATATAGACACCTAGTGAGAAAGGTAATTCTATCATTTGTTCAACCACTAATAAAGTAGTAGGCTTACTACTTGCTCTAATATGCGGATGTAGGTATAGCAAAATATTGAACTTAAGTTACAATGATGATAAGGCACAAGGGGAGGCAAGGTTGTATAAATATAATTTTGGTGGTTAATACACTAAAAAGTTTAGGCACTTTATTTATTAAAATTTTCTCTCCACCACCACTCAAGTTGGTTTAGAACTCTTCCTGTTGAGTACAAGGTTCAAATCCTGAGTTTCTTTGGTATATAATTTATACCTTTTTGTTAGTTTGAAAGGTTTTGTAATTTTAGCTTATTTGACGAAAACAACCATGGACTAGTAATTTTTAACAATTTTAATACTGTAATAACATCAAATATATAGTAATTAAAGCAAGAAATTGCTTCTTTATGACAATAACTTAAATTAGATGAGGATGCAACTTAAAAAAAGTCACATCTTTGAATCAAAGCAAGATGCAAGCTTAATGACATATATTAAACAAAGAAATTCTTTGGTTTCTTGTCTCACAGAAGAAAAAGAAAAATTCTTAACAAAAAGAAAATACAAGACAGTATTAAATTTATACTAATTGAATTAAATTTCTAATTAAAATTTTAAAAGTAAACAAATTACTTAGATAATATGTTAGGAGAAGCTCCATTTGATAACCCTTAAAATTGTTCTAAACCACTAGCGTTTACCGTCAATTATCCTGACATTTTGGAGATTCTTAATTCTATCACTAGAATAGATATTTAAGCAAAATCAAATTATGTGCATGATACTATAATCTAATTACTGGAACCATATAGGGAAAAGTTAAAAAAAAAGGGAAAAAAATTTGCAGCAGCACAAGGTAACATTTAGTGACTAAGGAACGAAAAAGAAAAGCAAAATGACAAAAGAAGTAAGAAATAACAGAAGGTTGTTATAAAAATTCCTCCTTAATTTGAACAAGAAAGAGGACACTAGCCCAAGACCTGATATGCAGGGGTCACCTGCAGGCTCAATAGACATTTCCAAGCAAGTGGTGATCATAGTCATGGGTGAACTCGATCGAGGAATTCTCACTCAATCGAACCATTGGAATGCTTTCTCAAGAATGTTGCTGATGGATTCTCTCAGTCTTTCGAATTTGCTTCATGGAAGTCTAGTGGAAGTCATGGTCAGAAAATCCATGTTCAAGATTATCAATTTTATCTTGGTTAGCAACCATACCAGAAATGATCTTCAAAAGAAAATACTACAGGATTAGACGAGGAAGATGCCTTGAACCAATTATTAAGTTCAGTAACATTAAACAGCCATTAAGGGAACATCAGTATAGCTGAATGACTATAATAACTCTTCACTCTTAAGAATTGAAATCTGAATTAAAGAGGCAAAAGAGAGACAACAGATAATGATGAGCTTATAAGATACTAGTACATATTAGTGGTAAGTTTGCCACGTAAACTTAGATTTAAACTGCATGCATGGATTCTCAAGGTGCATAACCACCACCAGCACCACCTCCATAGCCACCTCCGTGTCCACCACCTGCTCCTCCACCGCTGCCATATCCACCTCCACTAGCTCCTCCTCCTCCATAACCTCCTCCAGCACCTCCACCATGTCCACCTCCAGCTCCGTAACCACCACTATTACCACCTCCTTCACCTCCACCAAAACCACCCCCCTTACCACCTCCTTCTCCTCCACCATAACCTCCTCCATGCTCACCCCCTCCACCATAACCACCACCACTACCACCACCTGCTCCACCTCCTGCTCCACCGCCATATCCACCTCCACCACCTACACCACCGCCCTTTCCATAGCCTCCACCACCCTCACCGCCTCCAGCTCCAGCACCGCCACCCTTTCCATAGCCTCCGCCACCTTCACCACCTCCACCATAACCACCCCCTGCTCCTGCACCGCCTCCTTTCCCATAGCCTCCACCAGCTTCACCTCCTCCAGCTCCTGCACCGCCACCCTTTCCATAGCCTCCTCCTCCCTCGCCTCCTCCACCGTAACCACCCCCTGCTCCTGCACCGCCTCCTTTCCCATAGCCTCCACCAGCTTCACCTCCTCCAGCACCTGCACCGCCACCCTTTCCATAGCCTCCTCCACCATAACCACCCCCTGCTCCTGCACCGCCTCCTTTCCCATAGCCTCCACCAGCTTCACCTCCTCCACCATAACCACCTCCACCTCCTACACCACCACCACTGCCATAACCGCCTCCTCCGCCAGCCCCAGTACCATGGTCAGAGCCAACCCCTACCGTGACACCACCTGAGCCCTCATTGTAGCCACCTCCTTCAAAAGTGAGGAGTGATCGGCATTCACAACATATTGCTATGCCCAGCAAAACAAAGAAGACAAAACTCAGAACTTTGTGAGTAGCCATGATGATCAGAATGTTTCGAAATTGTGAGTGTCCTGAATACAAGAAATGGCAGCTCTTTATAGGCCCGGGGTGATGCTCAATCGAAAGAGGGTATAAGTTTAGAAGCGCGTACGAGAAAAGGAGTGGTTGAAATCACATGCATAAAGAGAGAGTTGGACGGACGTCCCTACAATGTGATTTTGCAATTCGCACAGACACTTATGTTTACCATCACTCTCAACTCTTACATTAGCTATTTGCATGCTTATGTGTAGTGTGAATTTGCTGTCTCCCATAGAAATTCGAAGATTAAGATTGGCACAAAGATTTTTATTTTATTTCTGAAATAGAGCAAAATATAATATCTAGACCGAACGTTTCTTATCCTGTACAAGTTAGAGTTAGCATTTCATCAAGTCAAATTTTCCACTTCACTCAAGTTGAATCAGCAAGGACGAAGTTGACAAAATTGCACATAGCATTAATAATCTTACAAGTGTATGATATCTTATTCATGATGATCAGTCGGTGAATAAACAAACTTTTTTTTTCCATTTGAAAGAATGTGCAGGCGTCGGCAGAAAATTCTATTTTCAGATAATTGTGATCTCGTAAAAAAATGGTTTTAGGGTGCCGTCGAATTGTGGATCACTTAACCAACTCCCTCTAGAAGAGTTGGCCATCATATTAACTGTGTGGTAGGCGATTAAGGATTCAAATCTTGCCTACCATTAATATGCCTTTATACGAGACTTGTTTTAAATTTATATGGATATGTGGTGTATCCCTCTGACTTGATGATGATTCAATCTCCATCAAATTCTTCCGACTCGGTTGGGCTACCCCTAAAGTAGGCTCTTCCCTGTAGAAGTAAGAGTAAACGAGACTAGGTTAGTTGTGTTGTTACTTTAAAAAAAAAAAGAATTGTGCAGGCGTCGGCAGAAAATTCTATTTTTAAATAATTGTGATCTCGTGAAAAAAATGATTTTAGGGTGTCGTCGAATTGGGTCGCCAGTAACGATTGACCCTTTGGACTTGGACATGGCTATGTAACTTTCAGTTCAAAGCCGAATGTGAATCCCTTCAACTTAATTTTAATAGAGCTTGGGCATGTAGTCGCCTAGCAGATGTAGATATCAAAAAATTAGATAATTTTCTTTCTTTCTTTTTTCATTGCTTAATCATTTAATATTTTTATGGTCACGAAGTTAGCAATAATTATAATTTGTAGCAATGTGTAAAAGGCAGTGGCATGTTTTAAGTTAGCAATAATTAATAATTTCTTTCTTTTTAGTTTCCTTAAGATCCAATAACTATTAATTGAGTAATACACAAAATTTAACAAACTTAAAAAATCAAAATGCATAAAAAATGAGATTTTTTTATGAATTTTCTGCTGTATTTTTTAATTTTCTATTATATATTGCTTTTTCGAAGCTGTTGTATTTATTTTTTATTTAATTAATAGTTATTGAATCTTAAGAAAACAAAAAAGAATTAAAACATGATATTTATATAGGAGAAATAGCAATATAATAAAAAGTGGGACAGAGAGTGACACAGGATATTGGATAGAAGATCCGTTGCGCATGGATAGGGCGTTTTATGTTGTTTTTGGACAAGGTGAAAGCCTCGACTGTAAGCCCGTGTACTTCAACTTTATTAATTTAAAAATTAATAGAATCCTAGAAATGTGCAATATTTATTAAAAATGATAACTTATGTATCAGCTAACTATATAATTAACATATTGTTAATAAAGTCATAGTTAAGTTAAAAAAAGAGACGTAAAGCTATTCTGAAGTTCACAAATTCAAAGTGTAGTTCTCTATTGCATCAAGCATTTGACTTGAAGCAATCAAATCTTGAAAACCATTTTCTTTTATTGATTGATACATAAATATTGACAGAAAGTTTGCTCTTAGTACCCTTCTTAATATCCTCACAGATCATAAACAGTTTTCATCAATACCGCGACCTAAAATTACAAGAAACCTGTGTAACTATGGATAACAGCCGAGCAACTTTGCCTGCCATACTAAATTAAAAATAAGCTTCGATTTACCTGTGGACCACAGCTTATATTTGGTATTATTAAGTTAGGATTTAACTTTGTAGATCGCTTGGCATTCTCAATTCCTTACTATTAGCAATTGAATTATGAAAACTCTTACTTTCTCAATCTTTAAATATTAACTGTTCAAGGTAGATTGTGAACATGATGAGTATGTTAGTCATGGATAAGTTCCATTTCATTTATTTATCCAGTGCGCACTCTCGAATAGCGGTTGCGAGTTCCTTTGTTAAAAAAAAATGTTCCATTTCATTTAGTCATAGATTATAGTAGATTATCGTCTTAATTGAACTATATATCGAAGTAATTGTCATAATTTTGATGGTGACGATTATGTCAAAAACCAAAAGAGTAGACACCATGTGGGCATCATCTAATATATATCTTCTTATATATAAATGGACCAGTCCTGAATTTGACGTTAAAATATTCTGTCATTATTTGTTATCTTCTTATATATAATCCACGTTTCCTGGATTTGGTGCTAAAAAAATTATGTAATTATTAATTACCTCAATTTTACCCTTGCATGATAGAAAAAACTATACAACCATCCCAGCACTCTACTTACCTACCAAACGTCCAGCTACTTTCATTTTAATTTTCCTGTACTCTTCTTTTTCTTTTAATTTTTTTGAACTAATAATCACTAACTACTTTTTTTCATTACATAATAGTTCTACCTTTTCTTCATTTTTAAATTTGCACACAAAATTTCTTTGTACTTATAACTTCGACTTTTTAATTATAGAAAAGTTCACCCATTTTTCTAATTTGCGTACCCACTAATTGTTGTACAGGGGAAAGAGTCAAAGAGGGTTTGATGTAAACATATTTGATTGCTTTATGTTCTGGCTGAATTACCCTTAATAAACTATCCATTAGTAACGCCTCAGCTCATCTCTCCGCTCAAAAATTCCAACAGTGTAAAACGTAATTTTAATAACGTAAACATGTAATTGCATAGTTGCCACCCCTAGTTGTATTGGTAAGCTTTTACAGCAAAAGGTTGCATTAATTAGTAAGCCACCTTGTTTGGGTAAAAGTTTGGACATAGAACCTTAGCCCAAATTTTGTATTGTATACTTTGAGATTCTACATTCTCAAATACTGTAATCTAACAAATAACTCAATACAAAAGGCAAATCTTAAGTATGCCAATTTTGCTACTGTTTGAGTTTCTAATTGCGAACATGATGATTTTCAAATTCGAAAGGCCAATTTTTAGTGACGAAGTTACAGCCAATAGCTTCCTTACTTGACTTCTTCTACAAAGACCATGCTAACTAACTCCTTCACACTAGTCTTCTTCTATAAGTAGAAGGAATATTACTAAATAATTTTATTCACAGGTGCAATCTAATTAGTGAAACGCTTGACTTATAATTGATTGATCATGGGTTCCAGTTATCAAAAGAGTAAGCAAAGAAATTACTATTGATCTCTTTTTTTTTTGAAAAAAAGAGGTCATATTGAGTTTAGAGAGATTTTGCCGACCGTCGCAAATTTAAGTTGATGACATGAACTTTTTCCTTTGATTTGTAATCTAAAAAATACAAAAAGTGTTATAATAATTATTTCAAATATTCTCATATTCAAAGACACGTGAAATTGAAAGGATGTGATGTTAACGAGGAGGAAGAAGAATGGTTTGGTGTAGATATGGATACACAAAATCCATCCTAACACCATCACTTGTGGTCTTCATCCTTTAGGTCATATGTTTAGGTGCAACACCTCATTGATCACATAATCTCCTTGTCATTTGCCACTATATCGACAATCTTTAACAGACACATAAACAGCACATACACACATTAACCATGTTGTATTACATATATGTTTATTTGCCATGCTTCATGAAAGTGAAATGTCTATATATATATATATATCGAACTTCTTGAGTTATACAAGGGGTAATTAATCAGCAAACATAAGAGAGAAGATCTAGTAGATTAAACAAGGGGTACATATCTTTATTATTGTTACTTTTTGGAAACATGAACAAGGGATACATATTTAAAATGACCACCGGATATTAAGTGCGGTTACATTGATCAGCAGCCAAGGGAACAGCTGAATAACCAAAACACTTAAAAGTTAAAACTCTTCAGAGCTGAAATCCATGAAATTCTGAATTTATCCGGCAAATGAAAACAGATCATGAGATGCTTAGATAATACTTATTGTTGGGAAGCACTCTAACAAAGCGTAGATATAAAATGCACGCATTGGTTCTCAGCGTGCATGTCCACCACCATAGCCTGAACCACCACCAGCGCCACCTCCGTATCCACCACCTGCTCCTCCACCGCTGCCATATCCACCTCCACTAGCTCCTCCTCCTCCATAACCTCCTCCAGCACCTCCACCATGTCCACCTCCAGCTCCATAACCGCCACCCTTACCACCTCCTTCACCTCCACCATAACCTCCACCACTACCACCACCGGCTCCACCACCTACACCACCCCCCTTCCCATAGCCTCCACCACCCTCACCTCCTCCACCGTAACCACCTCCAACTCCAGCACCGCCACCCTTCCCATAACCTCCACCTTCACCTCCTCCACCATAACCACCTCCGGCTCCAGCACCGCCACCCTTTCCATAACCACCTCCACCTCCAGCACCACCTCCCTTTCCATAGCCACCCCCGCTCTCACCTCCCCCACCATAACCACCTCCTGCTCCAGCACCGCCACCCTTTCCATAACCACCCCCTACTCCTACACCGCCGCCCTTTCCATAACCACCTCCACCTCCAGCACCACCTCCCTTTCCATAGCCACCTCCGCCTTCACCTCCTCCACCATAACCACCCCCAGCTCCTGCACCGCCACCCTTTCCATAGCCTCCTCCACCATAACCACCTCCGGCTCCTGCACCTCCACCGTTTCCATAGCCTCCTCCACCGTAACCACCCCCGGCGCCTGCACCGCCACCGTGGCCATAACCAGTTCCACCTCCAGCTCCATAACCACCACCAATACCATGGCCAAAGCCACCCCCTCCCGTAACACCACCTGAGCCCTCGTTGTAGCCTCCTCCTCCGAAAGTGAGGAGTGATCTGCATTCACAACATATTGTTATGCCCAATAAAACAAAGAAGACAAAACTGAGAACTTTGTGAGTAGCCATGATGTTTAGAATGTTTCTGACTTGTGAGTGTACTGAATCCAAGAAACGGCAGCTATTTATAGGGATGGTACTCAAATGAAGTAGGGTTTAAGTTTAAAAGTGTCGGAAAAGGGAGTGGTTGAAATCACATGCATAAACAAAATTTAATTTACGCCACGTCCCCACGATGTGATTTTACAATTTGCACAAATACACACCTAAGTTTACCATCACTCTCAATTTGTGCTGTCTCCCATAGAGCTTAGAAGATTAAGATTGGTACACAGCTTTTTGATGGATTTCTGAAACAAAAGAAAATTCCAGTCCTAACGTTTGCTATCCTGTACGAGTTAGTCTAAACTCTTGACGAAGTCCATATTTTTTCCATTCCACTCACCAATGACAACATTGACAAACGTAGGTGATAGGTATAGCATTTCTAATTAATCTTTGAAGCGTATGACATCATAATGTACATGATGCGTCGGTGAATAAACAAACTTGATTTATTTCCCACTTGAAAGAATGTCCTGGACCCTGGTGACGGACAGACAGTTAAATCTCTTGTTGGAAGAAATAGTAATCAAGTCTTAGCCAAAAATCTTGTCATGAGATTTTTGTATCTCCTAATATTTGTTCTATGTCTATGATCCTTAACTGTTGGAGAATTGTGGATAGCACCAAATAATATTACATTCAGTACAATGCCAAATATGAATCCCTTCAACTTCACTCTAATGGAGCTTCATCATGCAGTGGTCTGTAGCAGATTCAGATATCCAAATATTATTAGACGACATTTTGCTTTTTAGGGTTAAATACTTTCATCCTAGGAAACTTAGCGATAATTGAAAATGTGGAAAATAGCCCTAAGATTTTTTTTTTTAAGTTATCCCCCTTGATACTTTATATTGGTTACAATGCAAAAACATCGCTTCGTCTAAAACTAAGATAGCTGAGGGTTACCTTAGAAATCTATATGATGATTACTTGATTTGTCAAATTATTTTGTCAATCAATTACTTATATATCAAAATATAAATGGACACGAAGCTTATTGGTTATTCAGGTTTAGCTTTTAATACATCAACAACCTAAAGTCAAGTGCTTCAACAACCAAAATCTCTTCTTTGAAAGTGCTATGACAAGATTGTAATTTGCTGCCGACAATTATCCACGTCTGGTTTATGACAAGATTGTAATTTGCTGCAGACAATTATCAACAACCAAAGTCAAGAGTTTCAATAGCCAAAACATCTTTTTTCATAGGTTTATGAGTATATATACTTTTTTAAGAATTAAGTACGCGTTTGGTTACATCTTTCAATAGTTTAAAAGCAAAAGCAAAAGATTGTCACCAATTTTTTTATTATTAATTGTCTCTAAGACTCTCACAATTAGTACTTAACGTTGACATCCTATTGTGTATGATAATTGCCTAATGGAAATGAAAACGCAGACCAAGCTCCAAAATGTCAGTGCAAGCAAATCGATAGGATCCAATTTCAAGTATAAATAAAATGATATTGTATATGGAAACTTGTTGACATCTCTGCCTGCGATGCATCGATCTAGTACACTTGAGAGGATATCAAACCACAAAAATCAGGAAACTAGTAAAAGGGCCCAAGTGACTTGACTTGTCAGACTAAAACATCGATATTTTAGTCGAAATGAGGAAAAATTTTCAAAGCTGAAAGTAACAAGAAGGAACTTGGATGTGATTTGTTGGCTTTTCGTTTCTTTATTTTGTTACACGTATACTTGTCCTGTGCAACATGCTTTTGACTTACTTCATGCAGGTAAATCTCGAAAGTACCCAAATCCCCACATTTAGGTGGAAGTTTCCTTTATAGTAATGCAGACACATTCTTTCCCACAACTACTCTCTCATCTCCTATTGACGCATAAATCCTTCAAAAATCTAGCATATCTTGGCACTTGCTTGATTGCATCTAATAGAGAAATGTTTATTTTGACCTTTTTGAACATCTCCAAGATCTCATTCTCCTTGTCTGATTTACTTGGTTTCTCCAACCTGCTAGGAAAAGGGGAAATATTAGATCTATTCTTCATGATAAAGTCAGAATTTACCTCCTTAGGGCTTATATTCGCTCCTCCTCCTTCTTTTTCGAGTTCTTTCTCAATGTGCTCTTCGCTTTTATCCTTGGGAATCATTGACTTAGGTTCTGCAACTTCTTCTCACTCTTCAGAGTCATAGTACTTACATTCTTTGGGTTAGTTTCAGGTTGAGATGGTGACTTTCCAAAAATGTGAGATTCCAAGCGATTAATTGCTGTTGCCATTTGACTCACTTGGTTTTCAGATTTTGCATGCTGACCTCGTGTCTTGTTGAAATTGAGCAGCATTTGCAGCAAAACTTCTGACCATATCTTCTAAGGAGCTTCCTGAATTAGAAAATGAAGGTTGAGATTTTGACTGGTATTGTGGTTTGAACTCTTGCTGTCTATTTTAATCAAAGTTTTGCTATCGATTCCCGCCATAACTCAAGTTTGGGTGGTCCCACTAACTAGGATTATAGGTGTTAGAGTATGGATCATATTGCCTTCGTAGCGCGAGCATTTTGCCAGCCATGCTGACTTGTTCAACATTTTCCTTTGGAATCATTTGGCACATATCAGTGGAGTGTCCTATATTAGTACAGATTCCGCACACCTTGGCTTGCTGCGCATTTTCTATAGCCAATTGTCGAACAAAAGAGGTCAGTTCGGATAATTATTGTTGAAATGAGGAAATTTCAACCTCATTCACTCGACGAGTAGGAAGATTTTCTTGAGAGCCAAATTGGTGTGAATTTTCTGCCATTCTCTCAATCAACTCTCATGCCTCCCCAGGAGTTTTGTTCACCAGTGTTCCACCACTCGCGACGTCAATAATATTCCTGTCAGATAAGTAAAGACTCTCGTAAAAATATTGAATTAATAATTGTTCACTTATCTGATGTTGCAGGCATTTCGTGCACAATTTGTTGAATCTCTCCCAGTATTCATACAAGGCCTCCCCCGATTGCTACTTAACACCACATATTTCCTTTTTCAAACTTGCAGCTCGAGAGGCGAGGAAATACTTCTCCAAGAACTTTTTTTTCAATTGCGCCCAAGTTGTGATACTACCTGCTAGCAGATAGTATAGCCAATCTTTTGCCGAGTCTTTTAGAGAAAAGGGAAATGCTCTTAACTTTATTTGTTTCTCCGTAATCTCAGGAGGCTTCATACTCGAGCATGCCACACCAAATTCTTGCAGATACTTGTGGGGCTCCTCACCTGAAAGACCATGGAAAGAAGGTAAGAGGTGAACTAGTCCATATTTTAATTCAAAATGAGCATTTTCATTTAAGTGCGGGAAAGTAATACATAGTGACTGCTGAGTTAAATCAGGAGCAGCCAACTCCCTTAATGTCCAATTATTGGCCATGGTGATTTCCTCTTCTTCAGAGTCACTCAAATGATCACTTGAAGATTCCTCTAAGGATGCAGCGAATGGTTATTCCTCTCTTTGTTCCCTGGTTTCCTTCCTTAACCTACGTGTTGTCTTCTTTATTTCAGGAATATACACTAAATTTCCTGTACGAGAAGAACGAGGCATAAACAACCAAAAATACCAAGAAACAAAATAACACGAAATAAGGCAAACTCAGAAAGAAACAAATAAACCAACGCCAATTCTCGACAACGGCGTCAAAACTTGACAGGTTGTCGAGTTTGTGCAATAATAATTATCTACTCAAGAAAATATAATTTTTGTGTATAGTGGTGAGTAGGGTCGAATCCACAGAGATTGGGGGAAATTTGTTTCTTCTAAAATACGGAGAGCGGGGATTTTTATAAAATCGGGAATATTAAACAACTCAAATAGAGATAAAAATAAATAAATAATCCAATTAATAAAAATAATTCACGAAAGCAAGCAGGAATTAAACCAATGATAGACAATCTCTAGTCAAAGATATAACCTCGCAGACACAATCCGTTTATCCGATTATTGATGCATAGATGGTTTGCTCAATTCATTAACAGGTTAGTTATAGTTGTCAATAAACTCTGACGACCAACTATTTCTTAGTTTATTGATGACCAAGGTACGACCATTAATCACTCTAAACGGAAAATAACCCTAAGTACGACCATAGGATTTAATTTTTCAATTGCATTAAAAATTAGAAAAGCCTAACCTTAATTAATAACACACTAAGAGGGTTATTTAAATTAGATTGTTCATTTCCCTAACGTGTGTAAACGCTAGTTACCACTAATATTAATCGACTAAACAATTACGGATTTAGTTAATTAATTTAGCAATAGATTATTAGGTCACTTTGAACATCGGACCTTAGATATTCAGTTAACGAAATAATCTCTAGAAATTAAAATAGATAATGCACAAATATCAATAAATTGAAGGAACAAGTTGAGATTAATTCGATCTCACAGATATTCAAGACTGCGTCGTTGAATTGATTTCTAACTAGATTAGGAACTTAGCTATGCCTCATGGAGAAGTTCTCACGCCAACAAATGGAATTCATGAATATTAAATTGTGTTCCCCATATGATGTATTATGTTTCATGCAAAAAGTAAAGGGATGAAGAGAAAATTATGCTCCTATCTTGCGACCTCTAGAAGGACGAAAAAGGGACTCTCTAATCCCCATAATGACTAGAATATAGTCTAGTCAGTCTCCTTTCGAATAAGGAAAAGAAAACAAAGATAAAGCAACTACCGAATGTTCCTTGTTTCTTGTTTCCTAATGCTAGTAAACTACCCAATACTAGTAAACTACTAATCAGCAAAAGGAAAGGAATCAGTTGTAGCACAACTTGGAGCCGGATTTGTAAATATTTTGGAAGCTTTCCACGTGCAGAGCATTTTATCAAGAAAGTCTCCCTTTTTAGCACTTTTTTGCTCCGCTTCCTGTAATTAGGTCCAAATACCAAATATAAGTATACTTCAATAATTAAAACAATATTTGGCAAGGATAAAGAGGGAAATTAACCATAAAATTATTAACAAATTACTCCCTATCATCAACAGCTCCTTGCAGTCAAGAATAATAGGCGAAAGTTCATGAGAAATAAGGTTATTTGACTTACACAAGGAGATAATAATCAAAGAGTCCATCTCCACTTCGAGAGAGGGGATGTCGAGGTTTTTTGCAAGTTGTAAGCCATCTCTAAGAGCCCAGCATTTTGCAGAAGGAACGGAACAGGAGCCTAAATTTCTTACAAAGCCTGCAATCCATAACCCATTTAAGTCACGAATTATGCCACCAGCTTCTGCCTAGTTTGTTAGTTTAGAGACTGAACCATCAGTGTTGAGTTTGGCAAAACCTATAGTAGAGGGGATCCGAATTTTTCCTATCTAGGGGATTTGGAGATATGAGAACCAGGTCCTAGTAGGAAAAATATCAACAAATTTTTTTTGAAAGATCTTGGCGTGCCAAAGGCTCCAACAACCAAAGCTAAAGATGGTTCTCCAAGGAATAAAGTTGTAAGGGAAAGGAATGGTGGAGGAGCATCCATCCTTGATCCAGGAATAGAAATCTGAGTTGGTTTGGAGGCAGGTTCAAGAGGGTGTGGTGAGTTTAAGCCAAAAGGTGATTGCTTGGGGACAAAGTCTTAGTACGTGATATGAATCTTCAGAAGGAGCGTCACAGAATGGGCAAGAGGCTTCGGAAAGAATTGTATGGTGGGTGAGACTTTTTGTAGGTAGTCTATCTTGGGAGGCTAACCAAAGAAAATGCTTGACTTTTGAAGAGGTATTAACTTTCCAGATCCAGCAAAAGGGGGATAGAGCTCTAGTATTGATTGGAAATAAGGGAGGGTTTTTGCAGAGATTATAAGCAAATTTAGAGTTGAAAACCCCATTGCTGGAGTGATTCCACCTAAAGAAATCATGGGAGGGATTGAGTTCTTGTCTTGGTGTACCCTTGATTTCCTTCAAGAGCTAAAGGTGAAGCTGGAAGGAGATTCTATCTAGGTTCCTGCTGGTGAGGAAGTGAAAAAGTTGAAAGACTCTTAAGTCCTCTTCCCATAACCTCCACCTTCACCTCCTCCACCATAACCACCCCCTGCTCTTGCACCGCCTCCTTTCCCATAGCCTCCACCAGCTTCACCTCTTCTAGCCCCTGCACCTCCACCCTTTCCATAGCCTCTCTATCTTCACCTCCTCCACCATAACCACCCCCTACTCCTGCACCGCCACCCTTTCCATAGCCTTCTCCACATTCACCTCTTCCACCATAACCACCCCCTGCTCCTGCACCGCCACCCTTTCCATAGCCTTCTCCACATTCACCTCTTCCACCATAACCACCCCCTGCTCCTGCACCGCCTCCTTTCCCATAGCCTCCACCAGTTTCACCTCTTCTAGTTCCTGCACCGCCACCCTTTCCATAGCCTTCTCCTCCGTAACCACCCCTTGCTCCTGCACCGCTTCCATTCCCATAGCCTCTACCAGCTTCACCTCCTCTAGCACTTGTACCGCCACCCTTTTTGTAGCCTCCTCCTCCCTCACCTCCTCCACCATAACCACCCCTGCTCCTGCACCGCCTCCTTTCCCATAGCATCCACCAGCTTCACCTCCTCCACCATAACCACCTCCACCTCCTACACCATCACCACTGCCATAACTGCCTCCTCCGCCAGCCCCAGTACCATGGTTAAAGCCAACTCCTACCGTGACACCACCTTATCCCTCATTGTAGCCACCTCCTTCAAAAGTGAGGAGTGATCGGTGATAAGTGACTAATTTACGTAATAATTGTATGACATTTTATATTATTTTTAGTCACTTTGGTTATATTATTGGAAGAATATGAATCATTTTGGCTATAATTGGTGAATAAATGTTTTTAAGTGATTAAATGAGGTTTTTATCACTTTTTACTTGGATTTTGTGTATTTTGACAGTTTTGACACATTTTCGTATTTCGGCTATAACTTGAGTTACAATGATCGGATTGGGATGATTCTTGAACCCATTTGAAGATAAGAGATAGATCTACAACTTTGGTGAAGACATCTAAATCCAGTTTGAAGGTTTTCCAGGTCAAAATGCCGAATTACAATAGCAAATTTCTACTGGTCGAAGCTGGAACAGGGCAATGAGCAGGCAAGGGTATTTCAGTCATATCTCAGCCTACACAGATCCAAATGAGGTGATTCTTGATGCATTAGAAAGATAACTCAAAAGGCTACAACTTTCGTGTTTTAGACATGAGCTGGTTCAGCCTCTAACATCAAGAAAAGATTGGTTGAAGTTGGGCCAAAAACAGAGCAAGTGATCCACACTCGGATCCACTATTCATCCGAACCCTCGGTTGTTTCTGGGTTAGTGGATCCGAGCTCGGATCCATACGGATCCGAGGTACTGTAGCAGCTCGGATCACTGGTCAGAAAAGGCTGCTCTGTACGCGTAAAACTCAATTTCACCTCCACCAACTCACATTGGATGCTAGACATGTGAGAAACATTCCCAGCTGTAAAAGGGAGATGTAATCCTCATTTCATGACCACCTTTCATCATTAAATAGCCAAATTCATTGCAAAAAAGGAGATTGGAGTTCATAGAAGAAAAATAGAGAGTGAGCTACGGGAGAGCTTGAAGCTGCAGAAATGTAGCTCTTTCATCTCCCTAGTGTTAGTTTAGCTTAGTATAGAGTAGTGTAGCTTTTCCATTCTTGTTTATTATCTAGATTAGGATGAAGATGGAGGATGAAGAAGGCAAGGAAGAAAGCTCATGTGACAAGGGTTGTATTCCTTCCAAACTCTTTATCTTTTGTATTTGATTCCAAGTTTAGTTAATATACAAGTTCTGGAATTTATGTTATTTATGTGTCTCTAAGGTTTATACCTTGGGTTTGGTTGAACTTCCTATAATTGTTAGTGTTTATTATTTGGTTATTTGATTGCTATGATTTGAGCAAATTATTTAGTACTTTGGCTCTTTAAATCATGATTAATCTGGTACCATTAATTGTGATTATCTAAGGTGTTGTTTCTGCAATGAAATTGAGATTTAACATTAGTTCAAAGTGCTAAACATAGGGAGTACACTCACGAAAGTAGAGGTGCACCTATGTGGTTTTTAGTGATTTATTTCATGTAATTTCATTGAAGAAATGAACTTGTAGCTAATTTCATAACCATGAGAATAGGTATGGATTAGTTATAAGTATAATTGATTCACTACGAAAGTAGGATTCAAATGCATAAGGAAATTACACCATAATTAGCCTTGATGTAGTAATTAATGATCCAAATATAGCACTTGCATGAGTAGTTAGGGATACCACAACCTAAGGAGCTTTTATTTGTTAATTTCTTGTATAAGTGCAGTAGGTTAAATTTCTTATCATTAATTGATAGTCTAAATAATAGAGAAGCTTTAGTAATACGATAATTGTTCACTCTTCCTTGTGGGATCGACCCGATATATACCCTAAACTACTAGTTGATCTGTATACTTGCAGTGAACGGTGTAATTCGGTATTTTTAGCTTGCAGAAATAACACCTTAGATAATCACAATTAATGGTACCAGATTAATCATGATTTAAAGAGCTAAAGTGCTAAATAACTTGCTCAAATCATAGCAGTTAAATAGCCAAATGATAAACACTAACAATCATAGAAAGTTCAACCAAACCCAAGGCATAAACTTTAAAAACACATAATAGACATAAATTCCAGAACTTGCATATTAACTATATTTAAGAATCCAATACAAAAGATAAAGAGTTGGAGAAGAGATAACCCATGTCACTTGAGCTTCAACTTCTCTTTCTTCATCTCCATTTTCATCCTAATCTAGCCATTATACAAGAATGGATGAACTACACTTACTACACTATCCTACACTAAGGAAATGGAAGAACTACATTTCTGCACTCTTCAAGCTTCTCCCGTATATTTCCCCCTTCTCAGACCACCCAAAATGTCTCTGCATATAAACTGCTTAAGAGCTCCATTTTTCCAAGTCAAATTCCACATTTTGATTCCCAAATCTCAACTTTGTTAGGATAGTCAATAACAAATGTTTTTGACTTGAAAATAAGCCACCTTGTCTGCCCTTTTGTCTTCTGAAGCATGTGCACCGAATTCTCTTGCAACTTATAGCTGGAAAGTGGTATGAACACAAGAGAATTGACTGAGCAAATTGCAGAATTTCGGCCAGAAAACGCGCCTTTACAAAACGCGTCTACAACTTGCGTTTTGTGCACTCGCGTTTTCACTTTGTCCTTACTTCAACTGCGATTTTCTCCATGATGCAGGCCGAACTGGCTTTTGTGAAAAACACCAAAGTTGTAGATCTTTGAGTTAGCTTTCCAATGCTTCAAGAATCATCCAAATCGGAGCTTTGTAGACTGAGATATGATCAAAATACTAAACACTGGTCGGAACTCTGTTTTCCACTTTGGACAGCTGAGTTGAATTTCGGTATTTCAACTTTTGGACTATGAAAACGGATGAATTGGACTTTGATGTCTTCATCAAGACTTAACATTAACTAAATATTACTCAGGCCAAAATGATCAAAAATGAAATTTAAGTAATGAATTTAAAGGGCGCAAACTATCATATTCCTGTTAACGGAATTGTCTAGAGTTTGTTATGTATCTGTATCCTGAGAAGGAGACATCATGCAGTCTTACAATCCAATTGTGCGCAACAAGATTAAGGATCTGTTACGTTTCCTTGTTGCATATACCATCGTTAAGACATGATTTTCAATCAGAGATATATTGCTTCACCTGGAAATGTGGACAAAAACCATAGAGAACAATGCCTTTAAGAGTTTCAAAAGTGAAAGAGTTAGAGATGGTTCAAGCAAGGATGAGCATGCGTCCACGCTACTATACTTTCGCCTTTGCACTATCTGCTTCCCTTTGAATTTCTGTTGCCAAGAGATACGCTGCAGAGGTTTAAATGAAAGAAAAAGGAGGTTTAGATATATTTTTCCAAAAAAAAAAAAAAAAAAAATGCGTTAGCATTCTTCCATTAAAAAATAGTCTGCATAAAATACACTAATGAAAGTAAATGCATTTTAACAATTTCCATGTTCTATAGTTCATTTCTGACAATTACTAACTCCTTCCAGCCGCAAAACTTAAAGGTTTCCAGTTCAATCAAGCAGCACCCAAAACCCCAAGGAAGCAGCAGGGACAAGAAAACGGGCCGGAAAGGGAAGAAGAAGAACTTGGCTCCTAGTTGGCCACACCTGAAAATTTTGGGGTGCTAATTCTCGATAGAACCAAATGCAGGCTTGACGGAGGAAATAAGACTCATGAATAAAGGAAACATTCAAAAGCATTTTGTCTTTTTATCTTGATATAGTATTTTGTCAATCAGTTTTAGTACTATGTAAGATTTTAATGTTTTTTACTTAGGAATTAGGTTATTCCCTGTTGTTTGGAATCCTTTGATATTTATGTTTCTTGTTCACTTAAAATTTAGGTCTAGGTTTATAATATTTATAACCCATTGTAACTCTCTACTCACTTTATAGTTAAATTAATGAGTTGACGGGTTTTTCACCTCTCAACTCCTCGCTCAAGATAACAAAACACATCGCAAAAAGTCATAACAATAATAATTATAATACTTGATCTGAAGCTTATATTTACATCACGCTCGTGTTCTAACGATCAGTCTTGTTACTCCACCATAAATCAAAACTGAAAATCTTGGGTTATTATTCCTCTTGAAGTCTATGTAAAGTAGCGAATGCAGACTACTTTCTATTTTTCTTCTCCATATCCATTGTATCTCAAGCTAGATGATTATAATAGTCTATTCTTCTCTTCTCCTCCACCATTGAGAGCAGTGCTTAGATAATGTTTCTTATCTTTTGCTTCACGCTTGGTTGGTGACTCCCTCAAATTGCTTTCACGACACACATGCAGAAATTAAGATACACATTCCATGTCCTAAAGTCAAATTACAAAATCATTAAACATCAAGAAAACTAGCTTCAAAATCCCATGTCTTAAGGACATCATTTAGAACCCATACCACCATGCTGCTAGTTGACATTTTTAAATTTTCTCAAAAAAAAAAAATTTTTTGATTAGAGAAAGTAGAATAAGCAATGACAAAGTTGATCTGAATCACAGTGTAGGGTATACTACCATTGTAGTATATTCCAGAAATCACATCTCTACTCTATCAATGTGGCTCTATAATGCAGGTTTGGGTGTTTGAA